TCCCCCCATTTAGGCTCTGAGGGTCATCTCCATTGGAGTCATTCACCCCCAAAAAGGGAGCGGAACCTCCCCAGGGCCCAGCTGGTGCAGGGACCACTCCTGCTTCCTTGTGGGGACCAGTTGGATGGGGAAGGGCTTGTAGGGCTGTCACACAGCCCTTGTGTGGCGCATGAATCCCAGTGTCTGTGTCCTGGTACCCACAGCCATCCCCATCACCTTCCATGCTCACCTCCGGGACCACCCGGACCTTCCGCGGTGGCTGCGGTACATCCAGCGCAACCCCCGCCAGCCAGGATACCTCTATGGTTGCCCCACGGCCACGGAGGTCGGCACCCACACCATTGAGGTAGGTGTCCCCCCTCCTGGCCCTATGCTGGAGAGAGCGGGGTTGGCATCTTTGGGGGTGTTCCCTGTGTTGGCAGGTCCTGGCGTACAACCGGCTCACCTACGAGACGGTGGCTCAGCGCCTCCTCATCACCGTCATCCGCGCTTCACGTAAGGGCTGCGCACCCCAAACCTCACTGGGATGCCCCTGCATGCAGTGTCCCCATGGGTGCCACTTGTCCCCGCAGGTGGGGAGCTGCCGTTCCAAGGTGAGTTCCTGGTGGGTAACAGGAACGTGGAGGAGCTGCTGCCCAAGGCCGCGCGGGACATGTTCCTGCAGGCCACGGCAGGCGTCTGGGAGCAGGATGATCTCCAAATCATCAACATCACCTCGGCCCTGGACCGTGGCAGCCGCGTCCCACTGCCCATCGAGGGGCGCAAAGAGGGGTATGAGCAGCACTGAGGGTGCTCCCCAGCAGACCCCAGCCTCCATGTGTGGATCTGGGGGTGACCTGCAGCCGCCCCACAGGGTCTATGTGTCAGTGGGGTCCCACGGACCCTTCTCAGGGTGCCTGACATCGGCTGCCTCGGCACAGAGCCACTTCCTCTGCAGCCTGGGCCAGCAGCCCCTCGCCTCCTGCTATGACACCTTCGTCCCCCACTTCTCCATCTGCTGGTGCAACCTCACCCTGGTGAGACCCATGTGCCCCCCCCGCCCCTCACGACAGCACCCATGTTGACCCCACCAGTAACCATCACCCCACTGCAGCTGCAGGTCTGGCCCAGCCCCACAGAGCCAGTGCCCATGTGGGGTTCCGGGGTGCTGGAGGAGGGTGGGGATTTCCAGCCCCCCACCGAGGTGCCCCCCCAGGACTTGCTGCCCGGGTTCCTGGTGACGCTGCTGGTGCCACTGGCAGTGGCTGCGCTGCTCTGCCTGCTCCTGGGACACCTCATGTGCTGCCGCAGGGAGGGAGTGTGAGTCAGGGGGGTCCCCACACCCAGGTGCCCCCCCCTCGGCCATGGTGGCACCAGGACAGCCTGGGGGGCTGAGAGCCCTTCTCACCACTGTTACATTTTCCTCTGTTTTGTAGGCAAAAACGGGATTTGGAGACATCTGAGTAAGTCCCTGCACCCAAGATGAGGGGCTGGGGGAGCTTGGGGGGCTTTGTCATGGCCAAGCATGAGGAAGGCCAGCAGGACTAGGAACAGGGATGGGAACAGTTATCTCTCTGGTGGAGCATAAAGGTGTCCCCATTCCAAAGGGTACCCCCGAGGCCCCCTCCTCGCCTCCCCAATGTCGGTGTCCCCAATAACCCCCCACAGACACGGGCTGGAGCACAAGAGCTGTTTTACTTCTCCAGTAGCCTTGCAGGACTCAACAGCACTGAGGGGGACCCCACAGATGGAGGGGCAGACCTTGATGATGAGGGATCAATCCCAGTGATAGAGTGCAGACCCCAAGGCTGGGTGGCCATACGCCACTGATGGGGAGCAAACAGCTCGTAATGGGGTGACCGACCCCACCAAGCCCCTTCCCCAGAAGGCTGTGGGTGGGAAGGAGGGGGCACAGCACCACTTGTCCTTCCCCCACAGAGTCCAGCTCTTCCACCACGCCACAATCCACGGTGACACGCAGGAGCTGAGGCACATGGCCGGCAGCAGGGACGTCCCACGGCCCCTTTCCACCCTTCCCATGTTCAATGTCCGCACGGGACAGCGCATCAACCCCCTGCCTAGAGGTGCGGATGGAGCCCGTGTCCCGCTCCTCCCGCAGTGATGCTGGGGTGAGGAGACACCACCTCAGGGACAGGGATGGATGAAGGGGTGTCAGGGTACTTTTGTGGGGACCTCGCAGTTGTCATCTCCCTGGGGGTGTCCCCGCTGTGGGGTGGGTTTCAGCTGATAAAGTGGCCATTGAGAGATGGATGTGGCTTTTCTGCTTTATTTTTGGCTGTTTGCTGGGGGGGGGGGGGAGGGTGAAGAGGGAGGTTTTGGGGTGCAGCCTGCTGCTGGGCTCCGCTGGTTGCAACCAGCATTGAGTTGGCCAGTTCTTTACCCCAGCCAGCCCCAGGTGATGTGGGGCTGGGGCCCTGGTCTACCCTCCCTGTTGGTGCAGGTTCTGCACTCCTCTGCCGCCGTTTCCAGCTGCTTCACTCTATCCGGGTGCCCTCCTCCCACCCTGCTTCATTCATGACCCCCCAAGCCGTGCGGAGGGAAAAGGGCTCGTGGAAAGTAGTTATGGGGATAGGGACAGGGACAAGAGGGGGAACGCAGTCCCAGGGACACACAATGGCACCCACAGCACCCCAGTGTCTCCCGGCTCACCTGGGTCCTTGTTCCCTGCAGGATAGTGCCTGGAGCTTGCCCTCTTCCACCGCGCAGACCCAGACATCCCACTCAGCACCTCCAAACCCCTCCCCGGCCCCCCGGCGTTCCCCCCAGCCCAGCCCCTCACCTCCAAAGAAAGAGCATCTTTCAGAGAGGCCCCCCCCCCCCAACACGGGGCAGGCGCCAGGGTGGGAGTTAAGAAAACAGGGGGTGGGCCCAGGGAGGAACAAGAGGAGCCATTGATGGGCTGGGGCAGGCGAGGAGAAAGGAGCCATTGAGGTCTTGTCCTGCTGCCTGCGCAGCCCCATGCCCCCCGTGGGGGTAACCTGGGGGAGCCGAGGGTGGCACCTGGGGGCACAAGAATGAGCTGCTGGTGCTGCCCGGCTGCCCTTGCACCAGGGAGTGTGCGCAGCGTGAGCTGGGGTGGATGGTGCTGGCATGGGGGGGACCTGCAGTGGGTGCAAGGGGCTTGCACTGTGGCACCCGTGCACCATGGCACCCATTCACTGTAGCACCCATGCCATGGCACCCATGCACCATGGCACCCGTATACCATGGCATCCATGCACCATGGTGCCCATGCACCGTGGCACCCGTATACCATGGCACCCATGCACCATGGCACCCATGCACCATGGTACCCGTATACCATGGCAGCCATGCACCATGGCACCCATTCACTGTAGCACCCATACACTGTAGCACCCATGTACTATGGCATTCATGCACTGTGGCACCTCCAGCCACCCTCCATGTCCCCCTTTGTTCCCCCATGTCTCCCCCCATTCGGGGAGGGGACAACCCCAAAGTTCCCTCCCCCCCAGATCCAGCCCAACCGTCCTTTCGGGGGGGGAATGGGGGGGGGGGGTGGATTCCCCCTTCCTTCCTCTCCCCCGCCCCAGGGCAGCGGGGGCTGAGCGAGGAGGAGGAGGAGGCCGGGGGCCGTGGTGAGGTGGGAGGACGGTGGGGCGGGAGCACAGAAGCGCAGGAGCGCAGGAGCAGAGCGGGAGCAGCCGGGACGGAGAACAAGGGGCTCCCAAGCCCATGCACCCCCCCCCAGGATCCCCACGGCGACCCCCGAGAGCGAAGAGCAGAGCAGGTTGGTCGGATCATTTCACTTGCTTTATTTCAGCAGTCAAAAAGAGAAAAATAATAGATAATTAAAAAAAAAAAAAAAGAGAACAATTTCAAATTATTATACATTATACAAACACGGTACAGAGCCGGGAGATCCCCGAGCATCCGCCGGGAAATAAGCCGGCAAATGGGTTGGGTTCGTGCCCCATAGGGGATGCAGAGATGGATGGGTGTGTGGATGGATGCAGGGATGGATGGATGGATGGATGAAGGGATGGGGAAAAAGCTGCTGGAAGATGAGAGCAGAGCTGAAGGTCCAGATGCTTAACCTGGAAAGTGCAGTTTTCCTTATTCCCTTTCAAGGCTTTGAACTGCGCTGGCTCTACTTTGCGTTTGCTCCGGGATTTGCTTGTGGGATGGGATGGGATGGGGGTTGAATAGCACCTTTAGAAAACTCACCAGTGGAGCTGGACAGCAAAGAAAGGGGGGAAAGAATCAAACAGAGGGAAATGAAGATAAATCAAGGTGAGTCTTTGGAGGCGGTAGCACCAGGCGGCCCCAGGCTCGGGACTGGAATGAAAGAGAATTAACCAAAAACCAGGCTAAAAATCCTGGGGGTAAGAAACCTCAATGACTCCTGAGAGACCTTGAATGGGGGGAAATGAACATCAATGAGCAATAGAGCAACAAAACAAGGGGAAAAGTGGGAACATTAGACGGAAAATTTAGCACCTTTGCTCTGAACCTGGCAGGAAAGTCCCGGCACAGCTGAAAGAAAAAAACCAAACGTAGCTAAAACTACATGAATATGAAACAAAAATACCCCCAAAATGCGACAAATCTTTAACCCCGGTGAGGTAGCCTTCCGGAAAAGGAGGGTGCAGAGCGAGGTTTCGGGTCTGCGGCGCTGGGGCAGCGGCTGCTCCCCTGGAGTGCTTGGGAATGGGCTGTTGTGGCTGCCTGAATGGGAAGAAAAGAAAGCAAACAGAAAGAAAAGGACCCAAAAACAAAAGAACCGAACCAAAGGGAAGGGGGAGAGGGGCAACCCCCAAACCCAAGCAGCGAATCAGAACCAAGGGTTGAGCATCTTCGTTGCAGCGAAAACATGAACAGGCTGATGAGATGCGAGAAGCAAAGAGGGTTTGGGGGGGAATGAGGGGTTCGGAGATCCCAGTGCTCCAGGTGAGGCTCGGCTGGGTGAGTTGAACCCAACTCCGGGGAGGGGGCAAGCAAAGCGAACCCACGTCCTGGTGATTTGGTTTGAAAAGTCATTTATTTTTTATTCTTTTTTGAGGGGTTTAATGCTTTTTAGGGGTTTTTTTTTTTAGGTTTTTCTGGTATAGTTTTAGAGACGCTGGATAGAAACCGACACAAATTCGAGTCCATGTGAAATTTTCTCCTTTTTTTGGCTGTTTTTTTTTTTGTCTGTTTTTATTATTATTATCATTATTATTACTCTCTCCTGTCACATGTGGGGCGTCCGGTTTACAAGAAGCAGACTGGGCCAATGTCGATGCCGAATTCCTGGTCTGGAGCGCCAACGTCCATGGGAGCCAAATCAATGATGGGCAGGCGAGAGGTCTTTGTTGTCTTGTATTCGATGACTGTCTTTCCCCAGGCGCCAGTGTGACTCTGTGGGGAGCTCAAGATCAGCCCTGTGCCCACCACACGTCGCCACCACCACCACCGGGACCATCCCCGGCCCCACTCACCGTGCAGCCGTCCTCAGTGACACCATAGGTGAAGCGGCTGTTGCCTTCAGCCCTGATCTCAATCTCGTTGGCGCCTTGGAGGAGAAGAGCCTTCTTCAGGTTGCCGGTGTCCTGGTCCATGTAGGCAACGCTGTTTTTGCAGTGGTAGGTGATGTTCTGGGAGGCCTCGGTGGCCATCAGGCGGAGGAAGGTCAGCTGAATGGCGACGTCGGCGGGGTTGGAGCCCTCACCACCATACTCAAACTGCCGGAGAAGAGGCATTAGGCACCACAGAGCTGGTTGTCCATCCCGGTTGTCCCCCCCTCATCATCCCCATGCTAACCTGGAAGCCGTCACTCATTGTCTCGCCAAACCAGATGTGCTTCTTCTCCTTGGGGTTCTTGCTGAGATACCAGTTCTTCTGGGCAATGGTGGCCTGGGTTGGGTAGACGCACGTCTCGCCTGTCTCCATGTTACAGTAGACCTTGATGGCATCCAGGTTGCAACCTTGGTTGGGGTCAATCCAGTATTCGCCTGTGGGGTAGAGGGAGGACGGTGAAGGAGTGGGAAGCGAGGCAGGTGGCGAGGATGGATAGAGGATGGAGATGAAGGCCAGCCATAAGGGATGGAGGATAGAGATGAGGAGTAGCCATGGAGGATAGAGGTGAGGAGCAGGGGGAGGGTCAGAGGATGGAGGGATAGGTGAGGGGTAGTTGTGAGAGATGGAGGATGAAGGGATGGCAGGTGGAGGTGAGGAGCAATCATGAGAGACGGAGGAGGGAGGTGAGGAGCAGGTAGGAGGGATCTGGGGGTGGAGCATGAGGTTGAGCAACACCCATGAGGAAGAGGAAGGAGGTGGGGAGCAGCCATAAGCAATGGAGAGTGAAGGGATGGAGGATGGAGGTGAGAAGCAGCCACAAGAGGTAGAGGATGGAGGTGAGAGCAGCCATGAGAGATAGGATAGAGGAATGAAGCTGAGGCTCAACCAGAGGTGATGGAATAAGGATGGAAGTGAGGAGTACGCAGACAGGACAGAGGGATGGAAGTGTGAGCACCTCAGAGGGCACCAGCAGGGACACTGACCGCTCTTCCAGTCACCGTGGCACATCTTGAGATCGCGGCAGGTACGGGCAGGGTTCTTGCGGGTGCCCTCAGGGCTGCGGATGTTCTCGATCTGTTGGCTCAGGCTCTTGAGGGTGGTGTCGACCTCCAGGTCCCGGTCACGCATCACGTTGGCATCATCAGCTCTGTAGTAGCGCCCACCATCATGAGCCTTCTCCTGGGGCGGCTGGGGCAGGAAGCTGAAGTCAAAGCCGCCGCTGGGGGGGCCGGGAGGACCAGGGGGGCCAGGAGGGCCAGGGGGACCCTACAAGAGGAGGATAATGGTGAGCAGGAGATGAAGGCTGGCAGCTTCGGGCAGGCAGTAGCACAGGTGGCAATACATACGACAGGGCCAACGTCGCCAGTGCGACCACGGGGGCCAGGGGGACCGATGGGACCGGGCAGCCCGTTGAGACCGTCTTTGCCTGCAGCACCAGCAGAGCCAGGAGGACCCTGTGGGAGAAAAGGGGTGAGCATGGCCATCATCCCCATCAGGATCCTGGTAACAGGGGGGACCTTCTCCCTGGGATGCTCCAGTAGAGACTGGAGACTGACTCAGCTGAGGACTTACTCTTGGACCAGCGGGACCAGAAGCACCAGAAGGACCTTGTTCACCAGGAGAGCCCTGTGCAAAGCAAGGAACAAGAAGGGATGTCGTGAGAATCTTGCTTTGGTTCCAGGATGTGTGGCAGCACCCAGTGCCACCGTCACCCACTCCAGAGCACTTACAGGAGGACCAGGTGGGCCCTGGAGACCAGAGAAGCCTCTATGACCTTTCATGCCTCTGTCACCCTGTTCACCAGTTTCACCTTTGTCACCACGGGGACCTTGTGGACCCTGGAGGAGGAGGAAGATGTGTTGAGCAAGGTCCAGGACACCTACTGCCCCTGTGCACACAGGGACACAGAAGCACCAAGGAGGATGGAGGCAAACACCAACTTACAGCAGGACCACGAGCACCAGCAGGACCAGGGGGCCCAGCAGGACCTTGAGGACCCTGGAACAGGAGAGAAGGGGGCAGGTTAGAGCACCCTCCACCTTCTGCTGCCAGCACCACCCCAGGCAGGGTGGTGTTACACTGCATTCCCAGGAAGTTCCCTCCAGCACCGGGAGCAGATCCCAGGGCCAGACCTGAGCCCGCAGTGGGTCTGCAGAGTCAGCCCTTGCTCTAGAGCCCGAGCCTGGGGTGACCCCTGGGCTGGGAGCGGGCGAGGGGGGCGCAGGGCAGAGCATCACTTACGGTCTCACCGCGATCTCCGCTCTTCCCAGCAGGACCGACGGGGCCAGGGGCACCGGGGGCACCGGGAGCACCAGGGGGGCCAGCAGGGCCAGTCTCACCACGGTCACCCTGTGAGGAGGAGGATGAGGAGGAAGAAGAAGAGAGGTCAGTGTAAGCCAGCACAGCCCCATCACCCATTCCTATGGCTGCCCACTCACCTTGGGACCAGCAGCACCATCACGACCAGGGGCACCTTCAGCACCGGGAGCACCCTACAGAGGAGCAGAGATCCCTCATGAGGGCAGGACAGGGCTAACAGGGGCCTGAGTGTCACTATGCTCACGAGTGCCATGAGCTGGCAAGTCCTCAGTGAGCGCAGCAAGCCCAATGCTGATGGGGGGGCGTGTCCATGCCCCCCCAACACCGATGGTTGCCCACAGTCTCTCACCTCACGTCCAGCTTCACCGGGGGGCCCAGCCAGGCCGGGGGGGCCCATGGGGCCAGGAGGACCGCGCTCACCAGGAGAGCCAGAGGGACCTTGTTTGCCAGGTTCACCCTGCAGAGGGGAGAGGAGGGGCCAGGGTCAGACACCGTCAAGCATCTTCCATGGGTTGGTATGATCCTGGGGAGCTTCCAGCATCAGGGAGCACCCCAGCTACTCACTGAGGGGCCAGGCAGCCCGGGGAAGCCTCTCTCGCCTCTCTGTCCAGGTAGACCAACGACACCACGCTGACCAGCGATACCTTGGGGTCCGGGGGTGCCAGGAGCGCCCTGGGGAGGGCAAACAGCACCTCAGGGTGCTGCAGCTGCAGGGGGCATCCTCCCGATGGAAGGCCATTGCCAAGGGGTTGATGCCCTCATGGGATGGGTGATGCCCGCATCCCTGGCTCTGCGTCAGGGGTGACTTACGATGGGTCCATCAGCACCGGGGGAGCCCTTCTCGCCAGGGGGGCCGGGGGGGCCGGCAGGGCCAGGCTCACCGGGGCGGCCAGCGGGGCCGGTTTCACCGCGGGGTCCTTTGCCACCTTCCTTCCCGCTGGGGCCGGGGGGGCCGGGGAGGCCGATGTTCCCCTGGGCAGAGGCAGGGACACAGAAGCGATGCCGTCAGATCCAGCTGAAGCACAGCCAGGGGTGTCCCAGCACCAACTGTGACATGGCAGCGATGGGTGCCCAGCACCAGCACCCTCCCAGCACCCACTTCTCACCCCACCGGGGTACTCACAGAGGGGCCGGGGGGACCAACTCTTCCAGCAGCACCAGGAAAACCAGTAGCACCCTGGAAGGGGGAAAAGATGGAGTTAGGAGGGTCCTGGTCCAGGCATCGCCTGACCCACCAGGAGAGCAGTGCCAGGGGACACCACAGGAAGCCCTGGAGCTGGTGGCCAGGAGGGAAGCATCCATCCAGGGGGGCCTTGGGCTGATTTGGTGCGGGGGGTATAAAGGGAAGCTCCCGCCTTCCCCTCTGCTCCATCCCTCCGGGGATGAAGCCACCCTAGGTCAATGCTGTCCCCCCATAGGGGTTTGGGGTGCAGGGAAGTGCTGAAGTTCCCCTCTGCCTCACACGTTGGGGGTGTGGAGCAAGGCACGGGGGGGGGGGTTAAACCACCTCAGGGGTGTTTGTGCCTGGAGGAGCTCCCCAAAACAGCCCATCCCCCAAGACTGATACTTACAGGGGGTCCAGCGCTACCGCGAGCACCTTTGGGACCAGGAGCACCAACAGCACCCTGTGGAGGAGGAGGAAGAGGAGGAGAGGGGTGAGATGTGCTGTGGGGCTGCACCCCTATGGGGTTTGGGGTGGGGGGAGTTACTTACGGCAGGGCCAGGAGCACCAGTGGGGCCAGCAGGGCCGGGGGGACCGGCATCACCCTTGGCTCCAGCATCACCAGTTTCACCTTTAGCACCAGGCTGGCCATCGGCACCCTGTGGGAGCAGAGAAGGGTGAGCCAGGGGAGCTCAGCATCACCCCGGTGGGGCAGGATCAGGCCCCCGGGGAAGAGGGGAATGAGGACATCACTTACAGGGGGGCCAGCAAATCCAGCAGGACCGGGAGGGCCGGGCTCGCCACGGTCACCCTGCAAGGGACAGCGAGTCAGAGGCGTGACACCGAGAAAGAGACAGGCACCTACGGCCACCAACGGGTGGGCACCACGGCTGGGGCAGGGGGACACTTACGGGAGCACCACGGGCACCAGTGGGACCAGCAGGACCCGGGGGACCGGCTTCACCCTGGAAAAGGGGAGGAAAACCAGAACAAGGATGTCAGGGCTGTGTCAAGGAGGTGGCAGGGACCAGGACACGTCCGTCCCTGTGCAGTGGCCCTACCTTGTCACCGGGAGCACCAGCAGGGCCGGGAGGGCCGATGGGACCGGTCAGACCTCGGAGACCGTCTTTACCAGGAGCGCCATCAGCACCTTTGGGACCGGGGTCACCCTGGTAGAGGAAGATGATGGCAGGTTAAGCACAGCAGCACTGTGGCACCCTGGACCTTCATCCTCCCTGCAGGAGGCTGGGAGCATCCCCCTCCTCCCAGGGAAGAGCTGGGATCAGCAGGGGGCTGTCCCCAAGGACCACGCTTTGGTGGGGACATTGGTAGCACTGAGCATCCTCTCTGCAGGGTGCTAATCCCAAGAGCCCTGGCTTTGGGGAGTGTAACACACACACACACACACACACACACACACACACACGATGAGGGGGAAGCAGAGCTGGTCAGGAGCAAGGCATGGAAGTGGGAGACAGCAGGATTTGGGGGCAAAACGTACTCTGTCACCCTTGGCGCCTGGCAGACCAGCAGCACCACGCTCTCCGGGCATACCCTGCAGACCGGGGGGCCCTTGGTTCCCGGGGGCACCAGGAGCACCAGCATCACCCTGGGATTGAGAGATAGGAAATGGGTGTTAGCGACAGCCTGGCCTCAACACCAGCCCCAGCAAAGGGGGCAAAGCCAAACCCCCACCCCCCCTTTACATCTGCACCCTGAGAGCCAGGACCTCGCTCCTACCTTAGCACCATCGTTACCGGGAGCACCGTTAGCACCACGAGGACCTTGGGGACCAGGGGGGCCTTGGACACCACGTTCTCCAGGGAATCCTCTCTCGCCCTGGAGGGGGGAAGCAGGAGAGGGGCCAAGGCCATGAGGGGCGTGGTGGGTGCTGGAGGGTGCCACGACCCGGCTGGGCAGTGAGTGGGGTTCAACCTACCCTGGCACCGGCGGGACCGGGGGCACCAGCATCTCCGGGGACACCCTGTGAGGGAGGGACAGGGTCAGGGTCAGGATGGGAACTGGGGACCCCCGGATGCCCCCAGGGGTGGGGAGGGTCCTGCAGTCCTGGGGGCATAGCATGGGGCTGAGGTCCCCGCTGCTCCCAGGGACCTCCAGAGGCTGCATGGAGCACATGGCTTCAGGGTGCCCTGGGGGCACCCCTCAGCAGCCCCCAGCTCTGTGGTGGGGAGGGCACAGGGGCGGTCCCGTGCCATGGCCATGCTCAGCCACACTCACCTGCTCACCAGGCTTGCCAGCCTCACCAGGGGGACCAGCGGGGCCCGGCAGACCCTGGGGGGAAGAAGAGGAGCAATGAGGTACTACAGAGGTGGTGACCACAGGGGACAAGGAAAGGGGCATCACTCCCACCATGGATGGCTGGTGCCTGCACAAGGGATGGGAACACCTCTCACCTGGAAGCCAGGAGCACCAGCAGGACCTTGTTCACCTCTTTCTCCAGCAGGACCCTATGGTGGACAGGACAAGCATAAGGGAGATGCTCGGTCAGCTCCAGTGGCCAAGGGTGACCAAGGGCTCATTGATACTCACGGTAGGGCCAGGAGGACCTTGGGCACCAGCTTCACCGTCTTTGCCAGCAGCGCCCTGTGGAAGAGGAAGAGGAGGGAGATCAGAGCATGACCCCAATGGGACTCTGCACCCCCAGGAGCCGGGCATGGGGCTGGATGTGGCCATTGTACCCCCTGAGGGCCAGGAACAGCCCTGCTGAGCCACATCACCTCCCACCCTGACTCATGGCCTCCTTCATCCCTGGAGCCTTCCCAGACCCATCCCGACCCCCCCCCCCCCCACACATCAGGGGGAAGCGCCCAGGCAAGCTCTCACTGGGCTGAGCTCTGGTGCATACGTACCACAGCGCCGGGGGGGCCGGGAGCACCCCTCTCACCGGGTTTGCCAGGCTCACCCTGGAAGGAAAAGAGCAGGAGGAAATCCATGATGGAGCCACCATGGCAAAGGACAGGAGCCTGCGGGCTCGGGCAGGATGAAGGCCATCCCCGAGGGGGACACATCCCCAGAGCCACCCCACCACCAGGTGATGGCAGTGGGATCCATCATGGACCAGAGCTCCTGCATCCATGAGGACGCATCACCTCCAGCAGCTCCCATTCACTCACCGCAGCACCTTTGGGACCAGGGAAACCCATCACACCAGCTTGACCTCTGGCTCCAGGGGGGCCAGGGGGACCAGGGCGCCCATCTTGACCAGCGGGACCCTGTTATGGGGGGGAGTGAGCGAGCCCCCTGTTAGCAGAGTCCAGGGTGAGCCAAGGCAGGAGCAGGGCACAAGGGGAACAACTTACAGGGGGTCCAGTCTTGCCATCAGGACCGGGGCTCCCAGGGCTTCCAGTCAGACCCTGCAGGACAGTGCGAGCTTCATGAGGAGCTCAGGAATTGCAAGGGATGCTTCAGCGGATGCGAGCATCCCGGAAATCGGCTTCTCTGCCGGCATGGAGAGCACAGACAGCGGTGCCCGGCAGCACTCACCTTGGCACCGGGCAGGCCGGGCTCCCCAGGGCGTCCAGCTTCACCGGGAGATCCTTTGGGGCCAACGGGGCCGGGGGAGCCGCGCTCGCCGGGGGGACCCTGGGGACAGGTGGGAGAGGGGACAGGGTTACCCCATCAGGGGTGGGAGCGGCATTAGGCCACTGCATGGGGACAGGTGAGAGGTACCCAGTGTCCCCACTGAGGATGTTCTCACCCAGACAGGAGGGAGATGTGGGCACCTACCTTGGGGCCAGCGATGCCATCACCACCAGGGAAACCACGGCTGCCAGGAGCACCCTGCGAGGGACACAGAGGGGTCAGTGTGGAGACAGGGGGTGACCTCGGGGGTGCAGGGGAGGGATGCAGGGATGTGGGATCAGATGTCCTGTGCTGGAAGAGGCTGGGGATGTCCCCACGTGTGTGTCTGTCCCAAAGCACCGACAAGGCTCAGCTGCTGGACATCAGGAGATGGGAGGAGGATGGGGATGGGGACAGGGACCTGGTGGCGATGGGACAGGGCTGTCCCTACTCACACGTTCACCGGCGGGGCCGGGAAGCCCAGCGGGGCCGGGCTCACCACGAGCTCCTCTCTTGCCTTCCTCACCAGCTGGGCCAGGGGGACCTTGGACACCAGCAGGGCCCTGGGGAAGAAGGGGAACGGATGAGCACCCAGTGCAGGGAGCCAGGAGGGGCTGAAACCCCCAGGGGATGGGGGGGGGGGGCTGTCACTTACGGGTTCGCCTTTGGCACCAGTGTCTCCCTTGCTGCCTGGAGCACCTGGTTCACCCTGGAGGAGGAGAAGAGGGAAAAGCCATTTAACCCCAGATTGAAGAGCAAAGGGAGCCCTGAGCCACATTCTACTCTGCATCTGTCCGCCCCAGCGCCATCCTGCACTCAAGCATCCTGCACCAAAGCAGGCACCTCCGGGTTGGGCAGCAGCTCGGTGGAGCAGGGATCAGCCCACGGCAGGAAGCGGATGGAGGTGTCCGGGGATACTCACGCTGTTACCCTTGGGGCCGGGGGCACCGCTGGGACCCTGGGGTCCAGAGGGGCCGCGTGCACCAGGGAAGCCGGGAGCGCCCGCAATGCCCGGAGCACCCTGGAAGAGGCAGATGGTGGTGAGGGAGCAGCTCAGCCCCTCAGCTGGCAGCCGGATCGGGGCAATGGACACTCACAATTGCGCCCTTGGCACCAGGTTGACCATCAGCACCAGGGTTGCCCTGTGGAGAGAAGGAGGAGGAGGAGAAGGAGGGTTACACTGGGGTTGGCAGGACATGAGGCAAAGGACAGGGAGCTGTTGGATGTGACTCACAGCAGGACCAGCAGCGCCAGCAGGGCCGGGAGGACCGGGCTCACCACGGACACCTTGGGGACCTTCACTGCCACGAGCACCCTGGGGACCAGTTTCACCCTGGGGAGGAAGAGAAGGGAGGAAGAAGCATGAGCACAAGGGCTACCATGAGATCCTGACATGGCTGAGTTCCCCCTCATCGTCTCCTTTCCAATAGAGGCAAAGCCAGGAGAGGTGTCCATGGGGCTTGGCTGGGGACATCTCCATCCAGTGGCCCAGGCAGCCCGCAGCACTTTGGGCTTTCTTGGTTTTGGGCCACATGAGGAACTCATGTGGTGCTTGATCCTTTTCCCCATCCCTTCACTCCCAGTTTCCACCAGTTCTTCCCAGCCCAGGAGATGCCACTTGGGAGGAGATGCTCAGGCAGGTCCTACCTTAGCACCAGCAGCACCGGGGAAGCCAGGGGGACCAGCAGGGCCAGTTGGACCCTAGACAGAAGAGAAGGCAGGAGTCAGAGCAGGGATTCCACCTCCACATCTGGTTTTCCAGGCAGGAGAGGTCTGGCTCTAGCCACGGCAGAGCTGGAATGGGATCTCCCTCTGGAGCAGCCAGAGCCACTTCCGCTGCTGGGCTCAGGGGGTTACTTACGGGAGGACCGGCAGCACCGGGAGCACCATCGTTACCACGAGCACCCTGTGGCAGAGGAGGCCCTGTTAGTGATGCCCAGTGGCAGGAGCAGTGCCCACGCCCCCCCCACCCCATGCATGGGGGGAGCTCAGCCCTGCCCCAGGATACTCACAGCAGGGCCAGAGGGACCAGGACGGCCTCTCTCACCGGGAAGACCACGAGGACCCTGCGGAGGGGAGAGGACACATTTGGTGACCAGGGGAGATGCTTTCCCCTTTGCAGGCCTCCTCCCATCCCTGCATCTCCTGGTCCTGCCTGCAGGGTTAAACCCCCTCCCACCCCATTCTCTGGGTATCCCTGGGGAAGCATCCCTGTGGATGAGCTGGATCCCCATCACATCTTGCCCTCAATCCCCTCCCCACCACAGCCCCCATGGTCCGCAGCACTCACCATCTGCCCAGGGGCTCCGTTCTCTCCTGGACTGCCAGGCTCGCCCTAGGAGAAAGGACAACATTGAAGGACCTGCTCCAGAGGGAGGGAGCAGCAATGGCTTTGTACCGGGATGACAAGGGTGATGCTGCCACCGCTCCTTACCTTGGGGCCAGCAGGACCAGGCTCACCCTTAGCACCATCCAGACCACTGAAGCCCTGAGCAGCAGGAGAGAGAAGAGTGGGGGGGTCAGGAGGGGCACCCCAGTGAGGTCGGGCTCCCCGTCCCCCAAACCCTGCAGACAAGGGAGGGAGGAAGGACTCACTCTGTGACCCTTCATGCCCGGCAGACCGGCAGTTCCTGGGAGACCACGTGCGCCCTAGAGGAAAGGGGACACTGTGATGGTGGTACCTAAGGTGGGGTGTCCCGCACCCTGCCACCTGTGTCCCCAAGGGGAACGGGCAGCTGGTGTCACATCCTTGCACCCCGCCATGGTGGGGTGTCCCCATGGGGAGGGCATCTCACCTGTGGGCCGGGGGGACCGCGCTCTCCGGGGCGCCCGGGCTTGCCAGCTTCACCCTAAGCACAAGGACACTGGGTCGGTGGCACATCCCCTGCCCACCTGAGGGGGGCTGGAAGGGCCACCAGGTCCAAACGAGGTGGGGGACACCATTCACAGGCCACTTACATCATCTCCGTTCTTGCCAGGAGGGCCAGCGGGACCACGGGGACCCATGGGACCCTAGGAGAGACGTGGGGTAGGGGTGAGGGTGCTGAGTTTGATGGCAGGCCCCTGTCACCCTGTCCCATTCCCAAGGCTGTGATGCCCTGGAGCAGGAACAGCATGGCCTTGGCCAGGGCTGGGAATAGGAAGCCTCATCCCCATCCCTGCAGGATGAGGTTGGAGGAGGAGGTGGCAGGACTCACAGAAGCACCGGGCTCTCCAGGTTCACCGGGGGGACCTTGGAAACCTTGAGGACCCTGCGGGACAGTGGGAGAAAAAGGCGGGGGGGGGGAAGGAAAAATGGGTTAGAAAATGAGAAGATTGGGCCTGAAGACCCCAATGGCAATGGCACTGTGTGTGTGTGTGTGCATGTGTGGTTGTCCCTGCAGCATGTCCCCACAGGTTTCCATAGCAATTGGGAATGGTCAGATGCCCCGTCCCACCCTTGTCCCATCCTATCCCACCCAAAGGGGCCCCTGGGGCTACTCATCCCCAAAACAAGAGGGGAGGAGGAGGAAGAGGAAGATACTCACAGGAGCACCAGGAGGGCCGGGGAGACCGCGGGGGCCAGCAGGACCCTGGGAAGGAGAATGGAAAGTGGTGCTAAGTGGCTGCATGTCACCTTGGCCCCATTCCTGTCCCCATTGCCACTCTGTTGGTGTCTCCACTGACCCCACCACCACCCTACCACCATCCCATCCCCATCCCTGTCACCACCCCCATCCCTGTTTCCATTGCCATCCCATCCTTATCCTCATTGCCACCTCATCACCACCCCACCCCTGTCCCCATCACCACCCCCATCCCTGTTCCCATTGCCACTCTATTGCTGTCCCCATTGAACCCCATCATCTCACCTCCATCCCATCCCTGTCCCCATCACCACCCCCATCCCTGTTCCCATTGCCACTCTATTGCTGTCCCCATTGAACCCCATCATCTCCCCTCCATCCCATCCCTGTCCCCATCACCACCCCCATCCCTGTTCCCATTGCCACTCTATTGCTGTCCCCATTGAACCCCATCATCTCCCCACCATCCCATCCCATCCCTGTCCCCATCACCACCCCCATCCCTGTTCCCATTGCCATCCCATCCCTATCCTTATTGCCACCTCATCACCACCCCACCCCTGTCCCCATCACCACCCCCATCCCTGTTCCCATTGCCACTCTATTGCTGTCCCCATTGAACCCCATCATCCCCCCCACCATCCCATCCCTGTCCCCATCACCACCCCCATACCTGTTCCCATCGTCATCCCATCCCTATCCTCACTGCCGCCCTATCCTTGTCTCCATCATCGCTCATTCCTTCTCCCCTTTACTATCCATTCTGTATCCCCATTGCCATCCCATTCCTGTCCCCATTGCCACACACCCCATTACCATCCATCCCTGTTGCCAGCCCTGTACCCATCATCAGCCATCCCCAGTCCCCATCACCACCCCGTTGCTGTCCCCAGTGAACCCCATCCCTGACCCCATTGCCACCCCATTCCTGTTCCCATTGCCACCCCACCCCTGTCCCCATCACCAACCATTCCCTGTTCTCATTGCCATCCCATCCCTATCCCTATTGTCAACCCATCACCACCCCATCCTTGTCCCCTTCACCAACTGTGTACTATTCCCACTGCCACCCCATCCCTGTCCCCATCCCTGTCCCTATCCCTGTCCCCATCACCTCCAGGACCAACATCCCTCCCCATGCCTCTCACTTCCCACCACTCAGTATCCTCAGCACCACCAGCACAAGCAGCGCTTGAGGCACCTCACGCTTTTCACAGCCCCCTTATGCCCCCCCTGTGCCCCCCCAGGCACCTCCGAGTGCTCACCATGGGGCCAGGCACAGCCATGCCTCCGGCTTTCTCGTCGTAGCCATAAGACATTTGAGGAGCGAAGTTCTGCAGGCGGGAGGGGGGAGATGAGCAGGGCACAGGCACCCCCTCGGGGGCTTCACCCCAGGGGGACCCCCCCCATACTCACTCCGCCGAGGCCTGGAGGGCCGGGGGGGCCGGGGGGCCCCGGGAGGCCGGGCTGTCCGGGGATGCCATCTCTGCCAGGGGGGCCGGGGAGTCCCTGTGCAGGGGAGAAGAGAAGAGAAGGGTGAGCCCAGCAGGACAGGGGTCCTGGCAGCGCGGAGGGGTCTGTGGGGTGGTACCCACCCTGTCTCCTTTGGGGCCGGTGTCTCCCTTAGGACCCTGGTGAGGAGAGATGAAGCCTTGGTTAGCAAAGGGGCTCGCAAACCACCGGGGGTGTCGCGGGGTTTGGGGGCGACAAGGAGCCCTTACCTCTACTCCAGCGCTTTCTGGGTAGACAGGGGAGGCTGTGGGAGAAAGGAGGGGGGTTTGGAGGATCCCGCTGTGACCCCCCCGCAGCCCAGACACCACGGGGATGGGCACTGAGCCAAGGGGACCACGCCGCCGGGGGTTCGGGGGGGAACGGGGCGGTACCGTCGGTGTCGGGACAGATGGGGCAGCATTCTCCAAAGGGGATCTCAGCGTTGGGGCAGTCGGAGGTGTCCTCACAGATCACCTCGTCGCAGAGGATGTTGCCGCTGTCGCAGACGCAAATCTGGCAGGGTTCTGGTTTCCACACATCTTTGTCGTTGTATGTTAGACCATCCTGTATGCAGTTTCCAGTTTGGACTGCAGAGAGCAGGGGGAGATGTGAGGGAGGGGGGCACGGCCCCACACACAGCTCTGCTCTTCCTCACCCTCCCCTCCATCCCCCTCGCCTCGCTCCTGCAGCTTCTCTCCCTTCATCTGGTTCTCATCATCCCATCTCGGTGACACAGGAAAAGCACCACAATAAACTCTTCCCACATACGCTGGAATTTAAACAAACCCTTCCAGCCAGCTCCAGCTTCCTTACCCCGCCAAGGCAAATACCCCCACGGCGGGCAGGGGGTCAGCGCTGGGGTCCCCTTGTCCACAGGGGACAGGGATGGGATGGGAATGGGACGGGATGAGAGGGATAGAGTGGGTTGGCCCCAATGTCTGGGCTGAAATTAGATCCAGGCGGCTGCGGGATAGGGCTGGCTCAGGCCGGATGGGCTGGGGAAGAAGAGCGCAGAGACTGGAAGCAGACGTTGGGGCAGCGAGCCAGAGCCATAGGGCTGCCCCATGGCGGAGAAGGGGCCTGGAGATGGGGTGGGGTGGTGGCCCTGCCAGTGGGCCCCGGCTTGGTGAGAGCAAAAGGAGGCGAAAATCAAACTGGGAACTGCAAAACACCCGTTGCAAAAGGCAAAGGGAAAAGCGGCTCTGGCAAAGAGGGGAAAGGGAAAAGGCTGAACACCCGCTGCAAGAGGCCAAAGGCAGGAGGGGAACTGCAGAACGGCCATTGGAAACTGTAAATGGTAACTGCAAACTGCAGAATGACCACTGCAGACTGCAGAACGGCCACTGGAACCTGCAGAATGGCCACTGGAAACTGTAAATGGTAACTGCAAACTGCAGAACGGCCTCTGGAACCTGCAGAATGGCCACTGGAAACTGTAAATGGTAACTGCAAACTGCAGAACGGCCACTGGAACCTGCAGAATGGCCACTGGAAACTGTAAATGGTAACTGCAAACTGCAGAACGGCCACTGGAACCTGCAGAATGGCCACTGGAAACTGTAAATGGTAACTGCAAACTGCAGAATGACCACTGCAGAACGGCCACTGGAACCTGCAGAATGGCCACTGGAAACTGTAAATGGTAACTGCAAACTGCAGAATGACCACTGCAAACTGCAGAACGGCCACTGGAACCTGCAGAATGGCCACTGGAAACTGTAAATGGTAACTGCAAACTGCAGAATGGCCTCTGCAAACAGCAGAAAGGACTGTGGAAACTGCAGAATGGCCATTGGAAACTGCAGAATGGCCATTGGAAACCGTAAATGGCAACTGGAAACCGCAGAATGACCACTGCAAACTGCAAACGGCCACTGCAAACTGCAGAGTGGCCAATGCAAATGGCAACTGGAAACTGCAGAATAGCAACTGCAAACTGCAGAGTGGCCACTGCAAACTGCAGACAGCAGATGTTCAAGTGCAAAATGTCCCAAAAAAGTAAAAAAAAAAAAAAAAAAAATCAAAAAAGGCACAAAATCTCCCCGCGATGCCGAGCTGGGTCGGACCCGCGGGTGCTCCCGGCCCGGCTTCGTCCCTGTGCCCCGTGCCCATGGTGCAGGGGGCAGCCGCGGTGAGGCGCAGCGGGGCAGTCCGGTCCCGCCGGGCCAGCCCGGGACGTTTCACGTATGAATCATCCAGGACTTGTCTAATTCTTTCCTGATGGGTTTTGCAGCTCCCGGGGCAGGGCCCACCCCCCGCTCCCCCCTGCTCCCCCCCTCGCCTCTTCCCCCTAGCTCCCGCGCTCTTTCCCCCCTTTCCCTCCCTCCTCCTCCTCCTCCCCTTTTTCCCCAGCTCCCTCCTTCCCTCCGGCTCCTCTCCACCCTTCCCTCCCGCCCCGCTCTTGGCAGGGCGCCCCGGCTCTCAGCGTCAGCTCAGGCACCCCCTGAACCCCTTCACCCCCGAGTCCTCCCGATCCTCCTTTTCCTCTCGTCTTTCCCCCTCCCTGGTTTGGGGTGCGTTTTCTGCTTCGATGCCAACCACCCCTTGACCCGTCCCCAGGCCATGGCAGCCGGACCAAGCGTTGACGATGCCACCCAACCTCATCCCACCACCACCTCGCGTCCCAACAGTGCTGAGGACCGTCGCTGATGCCGAACTACTTACTGTCTTCTTCTCCTTGCCCGCGGGTGAGTAGTACAGTCGCTGCTATCAACAGCAGTAACCGAGAATCCACAAAGCTGAACATGTCTAAATATTAGACATGTAGACTCTTTGGGGTCTCTTTTGTTCTTAGGTTGGGGTCATACGGGGCCGATCCAACTCTGGAGCTTCAAATCCAGACCCCAGCAGAAACTTCCTACTGCCCTAGCCCACTCCTTCGTCTCCCCTTATATACGATGTGCCGGCGGGGAGAGGTGGGACCCATCGCAACCAGGGAATTTTGGACAGCCCCTCGGCCAATCAGCGGCACCCAGCGAGTCGGGGGGCACCCCTCAGCCCTTCCCCCCCTCCCCCAGTCTGTCTGTCCGTCCGTCCATCCTTGCACACGCATGCACAACTATGCACACGCGTGGCTGTGGGGTGGGTGGGAAGGGGGTGCTAGGATGAGTTTGGGGGGGGGATCCCCATCCTGAGGTGTTGGGGGGGTGGATATGGCCACGCAGGGAGGGGACAGGCAATGTGACATGTGGCACCTGGGGCACCTCAGTGCCATGGGATACTGGGGGCTCAGGGGACTGCAAACACCCCCCATCCGTCACCCACTTCCCCCCCCCCGGGGCTCCCCATCATTCACCCTCCTACCCTAGCACAGTGCAAAGGACAAGGACATGAGCACCAGGACCCTGGAGTACCTCTTGGGCCACAATCCCCATGTGGGACCCCCCAACCTTCAGACACCCCAAAACACCCCCAAAGGAACACTCTTTTTCAGTCTCTTTTCTCTTTCTATCCATCTTTTCCCCTTTCTCGTCCCCAGCCCTCTCCCTCCTCTCCATCCCGCTCCCCTCTCCCCCCTCCTGGCACACTTCCACAGCCGTTTCCACATTTGAAGGAGCCACGTTGGTTGGAAAAAGCAAAAGCTCCTTGACAATAATCCACAATCGACCATGCAATTTGAGAGGCTGTAATTACACGCCAAAAAATATACGTATTTACCAGGGCTGGGGCATGGGGGTAGAGGAAAGAGCCCTGCAAAGGGGATGTGGCACCTGGGCAACGGGGGGACACCTACATAAGGGGTGATTTTTAGGGGAATAAAGTGGGAAATGGGGCTGGGGTCTTGATGCGAGAGGGAGCAAAGAGCTGGGTCTGGCTCATGCACCTCTGTTTGTCCCCCGAGCACTGTGGTGCACAGGGCACTGGGAGCACTGGGCTCAACACAGAGGGGAAACCCCTCCCAAGCAGGGTTTTTTCATTAATATATTTATTATTTATCATCTTTAATAGTTATAAATCACTGCAATTGAACAATGAAATAAAGGCGGGGGGGGGGGGGGGGGGGAATTGCATTGAAATAGCAAAAATCCACCCAAAACTTGCTCCAAACCCCCCCAACCCCCAGTGACTTCCCCAGCTCTTTCCTTCCAGCTGCAACTCAATGCAGAGAGGAGAAGCAGCAAACCTACCCAAGGAGCAGTTCTGTGAGCACACACAGACACGCATGCACACGCATGCAGACAGGGACACGCGTGCGCGCGCCGGGAGCAGCTGGCCCTGTATCCATGCATCCGAGACACGTTGCAGTGAGAAGCCTCCTCCAATCCTGCCTCGGCGACTCGCAAGCCCTTGGCCGGGCTCCAGCCTGAAGATGTGTCTTTAATTTTTGCAGCATGACAGAAAAGAAAAGAATGTCATTGGGGTTTTTATAATGTTTTTTAAGTTTTTATATGCAAGGAGAGGGAGGGAGAGAGGGAAAAGGGGGGGAGACGGGATGGGATGGGATGGAACGGGACGATGCCACCTCATCAGCCCCCCAGCCACCCGCCCCAGGAATGCAGGAGGGTTCTGTGCAGGGTTTGGGGGCTGGGAGGGAAAAGGGAAGAAATCCCGCTCAACAAAAAAAAAGGAAAATAGAATAATGAGGGTAATAATAAAATGCAAAGAGCCTGGAAAAGCCGTTAGGATGCAAGGAAGCAGAATGGGAGACGCCAAGCGTAGGCCTGCTCCGGCTCCTGTGCACAGGGTTGTGGGATGGGGATGCTGTGAGGTGCTAGGACCTGCACCCACCTTCTGGGGCCATCTCTGGTACCTCGGGGACAAGGGGCTGTCACACGCAGCCACCCCCAGCCTTCGAAGGGATCCGAGACTCTTTCCCAAACAACCCAAACTGGTTTTACTGGTGCAAACTGGACCTGCAGCTGGTGGGGTTGGACACCTCAAAAAGCCAGTGGTCACCCCAAAAAGTCCATTGCCATGGCAAAAATTCAGTGCTCACATCAAAAATGTTTTGGATGCTCTAAAAAGCTGGTGAGCGCACGCAGGGCTGCAGTTGCCCCATGGATGCGGGGTGACGGTGGGGTGGGGGGGGTTTGCCCACCCCCTTTGGGTAGGGTACTGACACCCAGCGCCGATGGGGCCGGGGTTGGGGGGGGGGGGGTCTGGGGTTGGTTTGCCTGGAGCAGACGTCGGCATCTGGTGTGAGTTAATGCAGACACATGGATCCCATTAACTCACTTTTTTCTCCCCCCTCCTTTCCCCACTCGGCAGCCCCAGGAGCTGGCCCCGCACCGTGTCCATCTCCCCCATCCCGTCATCCCGCCCCTTGTCCCGCACCCATCCCATCGGTCCCCACCGTGTCCCCACCCAATGGCAGTGGGTGACAGTGAGGTGGTGACACACAGGTGCTTGACACCATCAGGGAGATTTGACACCATTGAGGTCCCCACTTGAGGAACCCACACACGCTCCCAAAGGACCCACAGCACCAGCCCTATGAAGCCCTTTGGGGGGGGGGTATTTCCTCCCACACTGCCTTGATCCCCATCTCACTCCCCATGGGGACATGATGGGGGACTCGGTGCCTCAGTTTCCCCGTCCCAGCCCGCCCGCAGCCCGCAGCCCGGCTCCGCCCGGGCTATTCCTGCCCTCGGCACCCTCAATTGTGGCGGGCAGGGCAAAACCCGGTAATCACGGGCCGCGACTCCCGGCTATTTCCAGCCGCTCCAACCGGGACAGGCAAACGGCTCCAATTGGGCTGCCAGCGCCACGCCGCTGCCCGGCGCGGGTACCGCTGCCGGGGGGGGCGCAATGGGGCCACCTCCTGTCCCCAGCAGGGTGGCCGGGGACCCCGACTTGAACGGGGGACACGGAAGTGACAACTGCAGCAAGGGGGTCCCTCTGCTGCGATGGGACCAGCGAGGAGGGGTTTGGGCTTTGCCCCCTTCCCAGGGCTGGGAACCTCATCCCAACCCTCTGCACCCCACATCGTGGGACTGAGTCCCTCCTGGGGGGCTCATCCCACCCATCTGCACCCCACAAAGAAGGGGAGCTGAGGGGCAACCCGGGGGTCGTCACTGGGTTTTTTTTGGGGGGGCCGGGAGCCCCAGCCCAGCCCAGGCCCCATTGTCTGGGCTCAGGGAGCTGGGATGGAAACTCTGAGGGCCGAGTCCACGCCGAACATTTTCCGTTGCAGTTCCTGACTCGCTCCTATTTTCCCTCCTCCCCCCCCCCCTTCCCTTTTTTCCTCCTTTTCAGTTTCATTGAAGAATTTGCTGCTCCCCCCCAGCACCGTCCACCGGGGCATCCTGGGGATGGGGCAATGCTCCCAGCGCCATCCCAGTTGGACCATGGGATGGGGAAGGATGCAGAGCTCCCCTCAGTCTCTCCACAGCCCCCAGGACTTTGGATCCCCTCACCCTCGTCATTCCACTCCCAGGAAAAGCATCTCTGGGGGATGGGGATGGGGTACTGGATGGGGATGAGAGTGGGAATGAGGATACGATGGGGATGAGGATGGGGATGTGATGGGATTGGAATGGGGATGGGAATAAGAAAGGGGATGGGGGTGGGATGAGAATGAGGAAGGGGATGGGGATGTGATGGGGATGGGGACATGGGGGCTCCCGGGCTGTTGCCGGCGCTGCAGCCTGGCTGGGATTCCTCCCGGCAGAGCGCCGGGTGACCTCATCCGCCACGGGCTGGCCGGGAGCCCAGGGCCTGGCGGGGACCATGGCTCCGGTGCCACGTGGCCAGGGATGGGGCTCCCAGCACAGCCTCGCACCCTCCACTGCCCCGGCCAGTGGGACCCCGGCTGTGGGGGGCACCCTGGAGATCCAGGTCTCCCCTGTCAGGGAGTTGGGTGCTGGGTGGGGCGGTCGGGTTGGGGTTGTTGGGTGATGGTTGGAGTTGTTAGGTTGGAGGTTGAGATTGTTGGGGGTGGCTTGGGTTGTTGGGGGTGGCTTGGGTTGTTGGGGGTGGCTTGGGTTGTTGGGTGGTGGTTGGGGTTGTTGGGTAGTGATTGAGGTTGTTGGGTTGTTGGGGGTGGTTGGGGTTGTTGGGTTGTTGGGGGTGGTTGGCATCACTGTGTTGTCAGGTTGAGGTTGGTGGTTTGCTGATGTTGGGTTGGGGTATTTGGGTTGGGGCTGCTGGGTGGGTAGTTGGGGTGTTTGGGTTAGTGGTGGTTGTGTTGGGGTTGATGTTGTTGGATGGTTGGGCTGGGGGGGTCTTGGGCTGCAGTTTATCACATTGGGAATGATTTGGTTCAGATTTGGGGGCTGGGGTCCTCCAGACACAGGCAGCAGTGGGGGTGTGGATGGTGTGGGATGGACAGATGGGCAGATGAGGTGTGGATGAGGTGGATGCCCCCTGGGAGGTGCAGGGACACCAGTGCTCCAAAGCCCCATGTCCATGGGGGTTCCCCAACCTCCATGCCTACCCAGGCCCACCACTTGCTCCAGAGAGTTGCTGGGTCCATGGGGAAGGGGATCCCCAAAGCTGGGTGTCCCACGGTCTGTGGGTCTAGGAGGTGTGGCTCACTTGTGGGGCAGGATTCATCCACCCCAAACAAGGCAGAGCTGGGTGGGGCCGGGCAGGGGAGCTGGGTCTGTGCCCCCCAGCCCCGCCCCCCCCAGCCCGGCCCCTCCATCTCCACCGCCCCCGATAAGGGGTCCCTCCAGCTGGAACCAGGCTCAAGCAGCAGCGATGCTCCAGCCCAGCCTCAGCTCTTCCTCCTCCTCCTCCTCCCCCAGCCACTTCCCAGCCCCACGTCAGCACCTTCCTCCCGGCTCCCCCCACCCCAGTTCATCCCAGTTCCCTGCCCAGGGGATCAGCATGGACAAGGGGGGGTTAACTCTTCCCTTGCAGCCTGCTGCTCTCCACCGGGACCCCTCATCCCTTCCGTGTCCCACAACCCCATGGGGACTCATCACCCCTTCCGT